TTTTCGGACGTTGCACCTATTTTAATTAAAAACCTGTTGACTATAGTATACAGTTTTTGGTGAATATGTTCGTGAAAATGTTTTTTGGACATTCCACCAATTTTACCAAAAATCTATGTACTGTAGTATACAATTTTTGGTGACTTTGATCGTGAAAAAGTTTTTTTGGTCGTTCCACCAGTTTTACCCAAAATCTGTGTACTATAGCATACAAATTTTGATGATTTTGATCGTGAAATAGTTTTTGGATAATCCACTAATTTCACCCAAAATATGTGTATTATGGTATACACTTATGGTTATTTTGATCGTGAAATAGTTTTTTGGACGTTGCACCAATTTTAACTAAAATATTTGGACTATGGCATACATTTTTTGTGATTTTGATCGTGAAAAAGCTTTTTAGACATTCCACCAAATTTACAATAAAATGTGTAGATTAGTATATAGTATAGCATACAGATTTTAGTGATTTTGACCGTGAAATAGGTTTTTGAATGTTTCACCAATAATATGTGTACTATAGTATACAGTTATTTGTTATTTTGATCGTTAAAGGGGTTTTTTGTCGTTCCACCAGTTTTACCCAAAATCCGTGTATTATAGCATACAGATTTTGGTGATTTTGATCGTGAAATAGGTTTTGGACAATCCACCAATTTCACCCAAAATATGTGTATTATGGTATACAATTATGGTTATTTTGATCGTGAAATAGTTTTTCGGATGTTGCACCAATTTTAACTAAAATCTGTGGACTGTGGCATACATTTTTTGCGATTTTGATCGTGAAAAAGCTTTTTAGACATTCCACCAAATTTACCATAAAATGTGTAGATCAGTATATAGTATAGCATACAGATTTTAGTGATTTTGACCGTGAAATAGGTTTTTGATCGTTTCGCCAATAATATGTGTACTATATAGTATACAGTTATTTGTTATTTTAATCGTTAAAAGGGTTTTTTTGTCGATCCACCAGTTTTACCCAGTATCTGTATACTATAGCATACAGATTTTGGTGATTTTAACCGTGAAATTGGTTTTTGAACGTTTCACCAATTTCATCCAAAATTTGTATACCACATTGTATACAGTTTTGGTGATTTAGATCGTGAAATAGTTTTTCGGACGTTGCACCAATTTTAATTAAAACTTTGTGGACTATAGTATACAGTTTTTGGTGAATATGTTCGTGAAATTTTTTTTTGGACATTCCACCAATTTTGCCAAAAATCTATGTACTGTAGTATACAAATTTTGGTGACTTTGATCGTGAAAAAGTTTTTTAGTCGTTCCACCAGTTTTACCCAAAATATGTGTACTATAAGCATACAGATTTTGGTGATTTTGATCGTGAAATAGTTTTTGGACAATCCACCAATTTCACCCAAAATATGTGTATTATGGTATACACTTATGGTTATTTTGACCGTGAAATAGTTTTTTGGACGTTGCACCAATTTTAACTAAAATATGTGGACTATGGCATACATTTTTTGTGATTTTTATCGTGAAAAAGCTTTTTAGACATTCCACCAAATTTACCTAAAAAAGTGTAGAATAGTATACAGTATTTTGTTATTTTGATTGTTAAAAGGTTTTTTTGGTCGTTTCACCAGTTTTACCCAAAATCTGTGTACTATAGCATACAGATTTTGGTGGTTTTGATCGTGAAATAGTTTTGTGGACGTTCTACGAATAGCACCCAAATATGTGTACGATAGTATACGCTTTTTTGTTGAATTTCATCGTGAAAAAAAATTTTGGTCGTTCCACCAGTTTTACCCAAAATCTGTGTACTATATAGCATACACATTTTGGTGATTTTAATTGTGAAAAAGGTTTTTGGACATTCCACCAATTTTAACAAAAATATGTGTACTATAGTACACATTTTTTTGTCATTTTGATCGTGAGTTTTTTTTTTTTTTTTTTTTTTGGCGTTCCACCAGTTTTACCCAAAATCTTTGTCATATAATATACAGGTTTTTGTGATTTTGATCGTGAAAAAGTTTTTTGGACAATCCACCAATTTTACCAAAATTTTGTGTACTATATAGTATACATTTTTTGGTGATTTTGATTGTGAAAAAGTTTTTTGGTCGTTCCACCAGTTTTACCCGAAATCTGTGTACTAAAGCATACATTTTTTTGTGATTTTGACCATGAATTAGTTTTTTGGACATTCCACAAATTTTAACAAAAATATGTGTACCATAGTATACAGTTTACATGATTTTGATCGTGAAATAGGTTTTTGGAGGTTGCACCAATTTTAACTAAAATTTGTTGAATATTGTATACAATTGTTTGTGATCTTGATCGTGAAAAAGTTTTTTGGGCATTCCACCAATTTTACCAAAAATATGTGTACTATAGTATACAGTTTTAGGTGATTTTTGATCGTTAAAGGGGTATTTAAGGTCGTTCCACCAGTTTTACCCAAACTCGGTGTATTATATAGCATACAGATTTTGACCGTATAATAGTTTATAGGACGTTACACCAATTTCACACAAAATTTGGGTACTATGGTATACAGTTTAGGTGATTTTGATCGTGAAATAGT